GGCTCAGGCATATCTGGCTTTTGAACTTCAGGAGCTCGGTGCTGTAAATTTCCAAACATGACAACTTGGATTCATTAAACCAAAAACCAAAGCAAACTCAAGAACAACCCCAGATGATTTACTCGCGCGGACGGAACCTGGCCTGCAACAAAGCTGAAACAGCAAACCCAAATCGCCAAGGAGGGAAAGACACTAGAAGCCTCAGGCTAATATAGGGGCCTACCTCGCCTGTGGACTTTGCTTCCAGCCATGCGAGAGGGAATAAAATATAGGGGCCTTAATGATTAGAATCGTATTTTGGGTCCCATTCTCTTATAACCATAGTATTAACGAGACCAGGATCGCTACAGACCTTGCCAGGCTTTGTCCGAGTTTGAGTGTCAAAAAAATAAGAAGCCCCCAAGATAGTACAGGCAAGTATTACGGCCCCTACATCATGAGCCCTAATATAGATCCCTTATAGAGCCCTTTAAGGAAGCCTTTAAAGGAACCCAAAGTAGCAGCCCATAGCAGCCCTCAGCCCTAAAGAAGTGACCGTGAAGGCGGTGCCCATGACTCGCAGTCGGGCCTTCCTCGCTTCCTCTCCGCCTTGGCTTGGACCCCCAAATGACTGGGGGGGCGGGGTTCGGGTCTAGGGTTTAGGGTTTATAGGGTCTAGGGTTCGTTGTCACAAGTTCGAGCGATTGCGATGAACTACAAACTAGGACTGTCCCTAGCCTCTACTTGTCTCAGCCTTAGCGTGCAGAGACCGCTCTCCACGGAAGTCACAGTGAAGCTACGCTTCGATGGAGAAGGAGCCTTTAAACTCCGTGAAGGATGCAGCATGAAGCTCCAACCTCAACGGTAGGGGTGGTGGCACGGTTTAGAGTCGAGAGCTGCTACAGTTTAGAGCAGTTCTGGTGGTTAGCTGTCTTGCTCCCAAGCCCTGACTTGCAAAACGCAAGCCTGAGCCGCAAGCCCTGGGCCCCAGCCTCTGACTTCTCTGATCTAAGGACGGGTTCCCTGCTTCTGTGGGCCTCGACATGATTCGTGCAACGACCTTGGCCCAGTATGGGTTGTTCTTATTACTTGGGCCATGGCAAGCGTAGCACGTTGAGCACTCCAGGCGAGTTGCATTGCAAAAGTGTAGTGGGTTTTCGGGTGTTTGCAGTCTTTGTATTTCTTTGGGTGTCGTGCTTGGGAACTTTCGCCGTGCCTGATTTGAGCATGGCTTCTCAGCTGTATATTTCAATCACGGCGATCGCTGAGCCGCCTCTCACACGTGGCCATGTTGCACAGTTGTCATGAACCCTATGCTGCTTTTCATGTCGCATGCCTCAACTCGCAGCTTGCTTCAGCGAAATGCGCTCTACGGGTTGGGAGTTCAGGGCAACGTCCAGATGCAGCCACCGTCGCGCTTTCAAAGGCCCGGAAGCAGAACTGGAACAGTATGGTAGGTATGACATAGTTACAGTTTTGTGGGATAGCATTGTGTCAGATCGAAGCAGTTTACAAACTACCTCCTCCCGTCCCCCGCCCTCCCCCCTGTCACCGCCTGTGGCTGGTTGAAGTCAACATCTCCGCAGTGCCTACTTTTCTCATTGCACTTGTTTGGCAGTTTCGGAAGCTCTTCTTCTGTTTTCAAACTGCCAGGCAGCTAGTTCCAGCCATCTGACTTTACCCTCAGCCAGTAAAAAACGGTCTATGCCAAGGCAGCACCTCAGTGCCACGGTCTGCATGAGCCACTTGCTTACCATCGCTTGCAGGGTCGATGGAACAAGTTCGGCTTCGGTTTCGTAGCCCGCAGCAGGAAGGTGAGATCATTTTGGTCCTTTGTGGTTTTGACTTGATGTCGGCCTCGCATGTCACTTTAGGCCCGTGTCGCCACCAGCATATGCGATGCTCTGCGAAGGCTCTTGCTAAGCAGCTCATTAACAACGTTTGAATTTCAAGCGTTGGTTAGGGTTCCGGGATGGCCTTGTGCTCCAGGCATGGCTCAGTAAAATTTAGGCGTCGTTCTTGACCGCTGAGGCTGTATCGCTCTCACCACGTGTTCGATCCGGTCTCGGATCCGTCGGCGTCCCAGGAATGCAGGCATCCTAAAATCCTAAAATCGATCCTTGCCCTGCAAGCTTGCACATGCCAAACTGCAAACCCTGCATGGGATCGTTTGCATGCCGATGCTGGGGACAGATTGATAGCGCCTGCTGCCGTCCGAAGCGACACCTCCGGCAAGTAGCAGCCAAAGCAACAACCTGTCTTTTGCAGGGTTCTTCGAGCAGGTCTTCTTGTGGGGCTACACTGGGAATCGGTAGTTTGTCGGCAATGCAGAAACTGAGACAGCCCGATCCCCGAAATCAAGACATGAAGCTCCTACATGTGGCGAACAAGGAGACACAGGAAGGGACTGAAGGAGTGGGAGAGCGGGAGATGTACATATTTCTCGGTGATACAGAGATAGAAGTGCACGCCTACACGTGAGAGAGCGAGCGAGAGAAAGATTAAACAACGACAACAGACATACATACGCATATGCAGCAGCACTCAGAGGCACCCTAGCCTACGGGCCAAATCAGCCACTCACAGAGCCCTCACTGTTCCTTAGGGTATTGATTCTAAGTGTAGTAGAATAATCCACAAAACCCTATTAAAATGGATAAGTCACCTGTATTATCTCTGCAAGGGCAGCATGGCGGTCTCGCGACGTGTCGGGCTTCGAGGCATTGCGGCTTTCGCGCAGGGACATGTGAGACACAGGTCTGAAATTGAATCTCAGCCTGTCAATATCAATATAATATAGATATATATATATATATACATACATACATACATATGTGTATATATATATATATATATATATATATATATATATATATTTATATGGTACAAGTAGTATCTGTCGGTCATCAAGGATTCGCAAAGTATGTCCATGTTGGACAGCAGTATTCTCTCGTCGCAGGGGCTGGAGCCTGATGCAATACAGGACCTCAGCAGGCAGTTTATAGCACAGGTGCTGATGCTTTCCCAGTATCCCATGAAACGAATTGTTACAAAAACACAATACGACTGCCGTGTTTATCGCCCACGTTCATTGACATGACTGCTGGGGACTCGCAGAACCGTATTCATGCTTGCTGTGCAATATGCATCAAGAGCAGTCGTGCGCAATCACGGGGACCCGGGCAACGAACAAGACCAGAAATCGTAGTGTTCAGGGAGGGCGACCATCACAAAACTTCATTACATTACCACTGGCCTTATAAGGCAAAGGCACACGACCAGGACCCTAGACCTGATTGGAAGGTGCCTGTGCCACCGCCACAGAAGCTGCTGTTTACCATTTCGCAGGCAGGAAAGCTGCAGTTCGCGGTCAGGGTCTGGGTGAGCAAGGTTTCGGCGCGCACAAATTTCATCCATGCCTATATCTAGCTCATGTTTCTCTACATACAAGCACAAGAATGAAGGTGTGCATGTGTGCATGTATGAATACTTATATATATATATATATATGTATATTTATGTTATACATACACATGATTTTTGAACGGTGCTTATATGTATACATGCGCACACATACATCGCTCTATATGTCCTCGGTATCATTTTTTGTTGTAGGTGTATATACATAATATTTGAATATGTACTTGTGTACATGTGCAGATGTATGTCTGTCTCTATGTATGTATGTGAACATGTAATTGGATGATTTGGCGTGCATATGTATATTTCCTCCTCCTTCCTGCTTCGCCGGAAGGGACCAAGCATGGTCCGGCTCTGTCATCTTTACCAAGTACTGTGCCACCATCTGGCAGAGGTCCGAACCATGCCAGTATGTCAAGCCTTCACTGACCGAACACAACAAAGCCCACCATTGTTTTTTCTCTGACAGACTTCGCCCCGAAACAAGAAGGCCTTGTTGTACAAATCCTCAGTGTGGGTCTTGAGACTGATAGTTGCAGCACATCGCTGCGTGTCGTTCGAGCGAGTTGTGCTAGTCGAATTCGGCGTGGTTCGCGCTATCTTCTTTTCACCGGATGGTTACTGGGTGTTGAGTTGTGACTGAGTAAGGGAGCTCAAACGCATCGTACTCTCTTGCAGTGTTCCCTGCAGTGCGACTTGGTCAGCTACGCGGGTGGCAAGACCTGACTCCTTCTGTGAGGTCTTGCCGCTAGCCTACAGCCTTATCGCTGTCATGCCTCGTTCCCAAAGTGGGGCGCAGGATGCTCCGGCTGTACTTGTGCCGAATTTTCAGGGTCAGTCGCGGTTCAGGCTGTTGAGGTCTCGGAAGTGCAGGGTTTCCAGCTACTGCGTCTGCCCAGCAAAAGGGCAGCAATTCCTCCTTTGGGTTCCGGGATGCAGTGTGGTGCGGGGCTTCAGGGGTTCAGACTTTGCTGTTCCTGGGTAGTGGCTTCGCTTCCGCGGCCTGTGCAGTCCAGTCTTGGGCTTGTTATATCTGTTTCTGTATTCTATGTATATGTGGCCTATCTATCTATCTATCTTGTGTGTTTTTCTATACACATACATACATGCATAGATAGATAGATAGAGAGAGAGAGAGAGAGAGAGAGAGAGAGAGAGAGAGAGACATGTACCTATTTTGGCTCAAGCCGCGAGTGCTCAAGGCCTGACCGTCCTGCTTCCGCCACTTCTTTCCTTTCTCTCCTCCCTTCTTTCTTTCTTGCTGCAGGGCGGTAGGTCTCAACCAAGGGCCTGCACTCTGCCTGCCTGTCCGTCTCAGCCATCAGCGGGGACGGGGACATCGCAAACCTCGCGCACTTCACCGCGGGGGTTGCCTAGGGGGAGCTCGGCAAGTTCGGTCCCCATCGTGATCGGCGGCCTACAACGCGACCCTTCGGGCGTTTGTGACCTGCTACCTCATAGGCCTCGGCGACCCTACAGGAGGGGGGCGACAACGACCCGACCAGGGACACCCTCTACCTCGAACGGGGACTACCACACCTACCTGATCGTGATATTGGCAGGGAGGCGAACGTAGCATTCCTTGCCTACGTGGGGGAGCAATGGCAGAAGCTATGCAGGCCGATCCGCAGAGCCCGCAACCAAAGAAGCGGGGAGCGCCTGAAGAAGAGAAGCTCAGCTTGGAGGCCATCCGTGAAGTTGTCAGGAGCGAAGTGGGGGGCAGCACAGCCGCCCTTCGTGCAGAGATCGGCCAGAGGATGGACCGAGTGGAGACGGGGGTCACAGCCCAGTTGGAGAAGACGTTGGAAGGGCTGGCGACCATCAACAACCAGCAGCTCGAGCAGCAAAGGGTCGTGGAAGCCATCCAGGGGGAGCAATACTCGGTAAACGCCCGGCTCCAGGCACTGGAAAGCAAGGTGCAAGTGCTCCAGACGACCGGGGGGACGAGCACCACGGCTGATACCGAAGCCGGGGGTGGATGATGACTCCCCCGCTGAGGAAACCTTGAATAAGGTGAAACAGATGGTCAAAGATTTGCGCTTGGATATCTGTACCGACAACGCCTTCGTTCCGGGGGTGAGACGCGGATACGCTATCATACCCTATGCCAACAAAGAGGGGGAAGACAGCCAGCAGCTACGCGAGAGGCTGACGGGGGCGCTCAAACGTGTGCGTCAAGCCAACGTGCAGATGGGGGCGCATGCTGATGGTAAAGCCAAATACCTGTGAGAGTGTGCTCTGCCACGACCACCAAGCCCACAGAAGCAGAAGAAGCAGGAGCGGGGTGGATCAACCTCAAAGCCATCGCACGAGGACTACACCAGACCAACCACGAAGTCGAGGATGAGTGGGGAGGCCTTAAGACCGCCCTACGCTGAGGAACAGAACCCACCGAGAGCAGCGGAGAGCAGGGGGACGACCCTGCAGAACAGTTTCACACGTTGCGGCCGCCCCCTAAGGGGGGGAAGCAAAAGCCTTTCACAGTCGCCACCTGGAACGTGGGCGGCCTCACCGCTGCAAACGCACTGGAGATGCTGCAGACGTTCGGGGGAAACACGGCCTTGTCCTCAGTTGCAGTTGTACTGTTGCAAGAAGTTATCACGGAAGCTGGTAGGCATTTTGCAGCCAGCAAAGCATGGAAGTTAGTTTACGGCAAGATGGCAGGGGAATGGAGGGGAGAGGGGGTTGCTTTCTTAGCAGCGATCGGGACGCACACCGGCACACAGGTGCTCCGAGCGGGGGTTGCCACAACACTGCTGTTGCCGACGGGAAAGAAAGTGGGCCTGCTTAGTGCGCACATGCCACACCATGCCACCATCCCGCGAGCAGAGGCCATCATGCTAGAATGGGGGGAATGCACTGCCCTACGATGCCCCAAAGCAGTGGTCGGCATTGATGCAAATGAACAATTCACTCCCTCAGAGCACGCCAGCCACCAAGAACAAGCACAAGGCCACACGGGGCGAGCGGAAAGCATCCTGGCATGGCTCGCGCACAACCACATTCGGCTGCCGCCGCAGGACCTCCAAGCTCCCTCCCACTTCCCTTATGACACCACGCAAACACCAAGAAGGCTCGACTATGTGGCGATCCGGGGCATCTTCTCCTTGCAAGGGCAAGTCCTACAAGCCAGGGACATAGCACGGTCCGACCATGAACCGGTGGCACTGCAGCTAAGGGGAGATCCGCCCAAGCAACCCAAGCAGCCAGACAGATGTGGCCCCAGACATGTCCACATACGGTCGTCAGACGAACTACAACATATCCTGGACCAAGCGGCGCAAATCCCACCGGGGGACAGGCACCACCAGATCGCCGTCCTCAGCCAACACATCACCAAGCCAGGCCGGGGGAAACACGCGCGCTTCGAGGAAAGCAAGTCCCTCAAGCAGGCAAGACGCCTGGCACACAACACCCCCCCAGGGGAAGCACGGCGCCAAGCGTGGAAAGCTGTCAGCAAGCAACTGCACCAAGAACAAAGGGCATGGAAACAGGCCATCGCAGATCGCGCCAGCCAACATGACTGGCCTGCATACAGACAACACAAGAAAGGCAGCAGCGGGGAGACCTGGATCGCCGCGCTTACTGACACACACGACTGGCAAGGAGCCCTCCTTGCACACTTCAAGAACATCTTCCACAAAGCCGACGGGGACGCCAGGGACGCGGACTTCGCAGCAAGACGGGGGAGGCTTAGATGGCAATGCAAGCATACCACGTGGCAGCCCTTCACAGCAGAGGAGATTGAGGGGGTGGCAACAAGGTGGAAAAACAGCAAGTGCACCGTCGAACGAGGAATCACTGTGCTCCTACCCAAGGAAGCCACCCCCCTCAGCTGGGGGGAGACCAGACCCATCACTCTCAGCAGCACCATCCTCAAGGCCATAGCACAGCTCCTCTTACGCAGGTGCGCCTACACCCTCAAGCCACACAACACATTGCAGTGGGCGGCACCGGGGAGGCAAGGCACCGAATTGATCCTTACACTGCGTAAAGTGGCAAGAATGGCCAGGGATTGGGGGGGCACTTTCTGGATCATCAAATTGGACCTTGCCAAGGCGTTCGACTCTGTTGCGCAAACGAGTCTCGCCGACCTTGTCGAGCGGCGCATGGGGGCGGATCACCCATGGGAGGCAGTCTTGTGGATGTCGCTTCTGCAAGCCAGGGGGGTTACCATCGCTGCGGGGGGGGCGGACACGCTGGTCCCACAAACAAACGGGGTACGCCAGGGCTCCCCAGACTCACCAGTGCTGTTCTCGGCCAGGGTGGGGGAGTGCCTCCTGCAAACGGTGGCCCAGACCCAAAACCAGCAGCGCCAAGGGGGAAACCCCAAGCTACCACCGCCGCCACACCACGCAGGAGCCTTTATGGATGACACATACTTGTGGGGGGAGCAGGCGGACCACCTTCAACGTACCCTCGATATCCTCCAAAGGTTGCTGCGGGAGCACGGCCTGCGCATCAATCCCAAGAAAACCCGCATCATCTGCAGCACAGATGACCCACACAGGTTCCACATTGATGGGGAGTGGGTTGCAGCCGAGTCGGGGGAGGCAGCCTTGACAGTCCTGGGATCCCCAGTGAGCTTTCGGGGGGGGCCGCCGCACCTTGCGGCAGAAATGTGCACCAGAGCGCGAAAGGCCTGGGGGAAGAACAAGGCCTTGCTCACAGCAGACACCAACCTCAAGCAACGACTGCAGCTACACAACATACTAGTCAGACAGAGCGCGTTATGGGCCGCAGAGACCTGGCCAGTGCAAACCACGCTGCTACAGGCAGCCAACGTGCAACAGCTCCAGCAGGTCAGAAGCATGGTTGGAGGGGGACGCGCACCGGGGGAGCCTTGGACCGAATGGAACAAACGGTCGCTCCGAATGGCACGCGTGCACCTGCACAAGAACAAGATCGAGCGATGGTCCACGTACATCCTACGGATGATCTGGGGGATCTGGGGGCATGCCGCACGTGCACAGGACATCACCTACGAAATGCTCATGTGGAGGGGGATGGAATGGTGGTGGCAACAGCAAGCTCTACCCGACGATGTCGGAGCACGGCACGCAGATAGATTCAACAGCAGCCTGGACGCAGAGAGGCACATAGCAGCCATTGCAGGCACGAGGTGGGGGGAAGTCGCGAGAGACCGGCTGGCGTGGGAGGCCCTAGAAGAGAAGTTCGTGGAAGCCCATGACCCACCCTGGTGTTCGGGGAAGCAGGCGCAGCTGCAAAACCTCGCGCAGACAAAGCAAGACGCCAGGAGGGCGAAAGCAATCAGAGACAGAAGGCAAGCCAGGCGAGCAGGCCGCAGACTGCTCAACTAGCTTGGTTGAAGGCCGTCAGGCCTGAAGAAGCTACAGCGCGTCACAGCCATCGCGTGGTAAGCCACAAACCATGCAGTACAAGCGAGAGGGGGGGATGCCGTTTGCAGCCCACCCGCAGACCAGCAACAACACTCCAACCATTTATATATATATATACCTCTCTCACTCCGTCTCTTTCCCTCACTCCATATATCTCTCTTCTTTTTCCTCCGCCCCACAGACAGCCAAGATGCACACAGAGAAGAGGAGAGCGTCACAACGAGCCACAGTAAGGGGAGTGCAGTGCAGTGCATGCCAGCATGTTGTTGCCAGTGAGTGCGGTGAGTGCGGCAGTGCAGTGTACTGCAGCAGAGCAGCAAGCGCGTGCGCCGCGCAGACTGGCCCGAGCCTCAGAGACCCACACCCTGCGAACATGGCCCGCCAGAGCAAGGGGAGCGGCCGCGGCAAAGCGACCTTCATGGCCATCCTGGCCATGGGACTAGGCCGCCTGCTAGCCTATGCCCAGCGACCAGAGGGGAACACGGCAACAAGTGCTGCGCCAATGCAGGGCACAGCGAGACTGGGGAGAGACCTGGTGATCGAGCCGACGAGCTCGACAACGAGTCAGCCCCCACCACCGCCTCCACCACAGGAGGTGACGAGCCAATGGCCCCCAGGCACTACCTGGGTCATGCAAGGGGGGAGCTGGCAGCCAATCTGGCCAGAGGACCCCAGCCTCGTAGAAGTGTGGCAACCGAGCGAAGTAACACAACCGCCACCACCACCACCACAGCAGACAGGGCCTCTGGAGCAAACCCAAGCAGGGGGAGGCCCTGGCGGCCACGAAGAGGCACAGCCCCCCATGGCAGCTACAACGGGAGATGACCAAGCCCTCGGCAACACATGGTCCAACTGGGTGAGAGGACCCGATGGGGGCAGATATGCCCTGGTCTATGACCCGGACACCGACCCATGGCACACGTTCGACGAGCCGGACCAACCGTCCCAGGGAGAGGCGCAGACGTCAACGGACACGTCAACGGACACGTTACCACGACCCGTTCCCGAAGCGGTGGGCACCACGCAGCGAGCGAGAGATGACGGAGCCACGGCGACCACACCAGCAGCGGAGGAAACGCCCTCCACCCAGCGACCCAACACCCGCGAGGCAGCAGCAGGGGAGCCACCCATGGAGGAAGCATCCTCATCAGCAGGTCAAGCCAGCCAGCAGGACCCGGCAGCAAGCACGGCAGCCGGATACGCACCCACGGCACCAACACGCCACAAGCCCACACCAACCGGGCCAGCAACCAAAGGCAAACAGCCCACAGCGACAGCGGGGCAGCAACCACCACAGACCAGCAGCGCTCCGCCCGACACGGCAGCCGACGCAGCCGGGGGACCCGCTCCCGTGTCCCCGTCACAGCCAGAAGCTGAACTCACAGAGATGACGGGGGAAGACACGCAGCCGACGACCGCCTCGGGGGGAGCAACCCAAAGGCAGGAGCCATACCACGAAGGACAAGGAGATCAACGCAGAGGCAACAAGTTCCAGAAGGGGGCAATCAAGCGTGAATTCAAACGTCGCGGAATGACTAAACCGGCCGGGGCTACATGGAATTCGGTGGCACATCTGGTTGGTATGCAAGCGTTTGGCAACGACACCGACGACGAAGAAGAAGGGGAGGAGAACGACCAGCCCGACGGCCAGACAACAACAAGGGGGAGCCAGCCACAGGCAGCAAGGCGGATACAGAAAGCCAACGCCGACATGAAGAGAATAGAGAGCTTTTCTCAAGACTGCTGCAACAAGCAGACAGGCCGTGGCAGCCACCGCAACCACCACAACCGAGCCACGCACAGCAGACGGGGGCACGCAGCCAACCCCAGGGGGGCGAGCACACCACAGCAAGGCGCAGCACCCCCCAACAGCCACAGCCGGAAGGAGCCACCTCCGGTACCACCAACGCAACCGCCCAACAAAGGGGGCCAATACCCCACAGCAGCCGCAGAGGGAAGGAAGCCCGCAGCCGCGGTCCGGGGGCACAACAGAGGCATCAAGCAGCACAGCAACGATGCCAAGCACTTCCAGCAGCAGCTCGAGCACGCAGAGCATCATGCCCCTCGACTCGCCGATCTCGTGGATCACAGGGGGATCGCGATACGTCGGCTCCTGGGGGGGATATCTCCCACCGAGCTCCCTGCCGCCTGAGTTGCCACTCAGCCAATACGCACACGCCCACTTTCGCTATGTCGGAGGCGGTGGATGGGTGGGGGCGATCTTGGCCCGCAACTCGGCCGCAACACCGAGCTACAACACAGCCAGACTACGCGGCTTTGCGAGGGTGAGGCAAACAGCGGAAGGAGGCAGCGCGGGGGAGACGATGACAATAGGGTTGCAATTCGAGCTGCACCCGCTCCAGTCACATGGGCCATGGCACCTGTTTGTCAGAGCGGCACCCCGCACCCCCGAACCCAACAGCCTCAGGCTACCTACCGGACACTACAAGCTCACATGGCAAGAGCAGAGCCAACATTGGCTCATAACACAGCTTGACCAGGAAGACGGGGAGCTACTCACCAGGGCGAGGGGGGATTCCAGAGGGCGGCCCGACTTGCTTAGCGCGCACCTCCAAGAACATGAGTTGGCGCAGCTAGACCGCAGCCACGAAGCCCTAGCCGCCATCAGGGGGGCAAGACGGCTGGTTCAACTTCCAGAAATAGATCCACATGCACCACGAGCACACCGAGAGCAAGCCCTACGCCACAGCAACCAGCCAGGAGGGCAACCGCTCATCTACCCGGGGGACGAACAGTGGGGAGCAGCGGCGGTCCACCCGTGAGCCATACACATGTACCAGGGGAGCACCCTGGCAGCAGCTGACCCAATAGCCTCCACGAACCAACCACGACCAGCCGACAACAACCACCACCACCACGCTGCAGAACCACCCCACAGCCACCGAGGGCCAACCTAGAGACAGCCAACAACAACCACACCATCACCACCAGGCACAACACGTGCAGAACCACCCCACAGGCGTTACCACCCCACGAGGGTCACAGTCACAGTCACAACAGCAGACAGAGACAGAGACAACAGTGGCCACCGACATCCCCCCCCGACAAGGGGGGAGCCCACAGCCCACGGACACATCCCTTGACAGAGCACCAACCACACCAGACACAGCAGCAGGACCAGACGCAAGCAATGTGAGCCAAGCCACCGACAAAACAGAACACCACCACGAGCGCCTAACGGAGGGAAGCGGTGGCGCACGCCCCTCGGCCGTGGTCGGTGACAAGCCAAAGCAGCAGCCAGCCCCAGCAGACCCCACCACACCACAACAACCAAGCGGGGGAGAAGGCAAGTTCTCCTTTTACTCACCAGCCGCACGAGCAGCCTTCCGCCCCATGCCAAGCCACAGCGAGCAGAGAGCCACCCCCAAACGTCCACCACCACCGCCACCGAGCGACTCTGAAACCAGCTGGCCGAGTGAAGACCCACCAGAGGCCGACCACACGGAACTTATGCAGGCGCATCACTCATCTCCACATGCCAACCTCATTACAGCAAACCCGGCGGGGGCAACAACGCAAGAGGGGTGCGCCAACCTGCTAGGACAAGAGGCAGCTACACATGCCGACAGCAGCACACCCCCGAACTCGGCAGCCAGCGACCAAGCCACCACAGTGCCATGGCTAGTACATACACCACCCCGTGCCAACAACACCTCCGACAACGAGGAGGACACAGCCGCAGCAGCTGCGAAAGCACAGACAGAGACAAGGCAGGGGGAGGGACCTGAAGAAAGTCCACTGAAGAAGGCAAGACGTCAGGCCGCAGATCTACTCCGCAGTGAAACGGAGGAAACACTAGCCGCCGCGGCCCAAGCCACAGTCGAAGTCAGGGGGAACGAGGACGACCGCCTAGACCGCGACCTCCGAGCAAGAGGGGAACCCCGAGTGCTAGGGGACAAAGCCAACGAAAGAGCCAGGCAAGCAGCGGAACACATTACTGAAGCCATGGCCCTTGCAAGAGCAGTGGAGTTGTACGGGGTTGAAGCCCACCTCTCGGCGGCGGCTACAGCTCTTAACCTGGCCACAGACGGAGACATGGGGAGAAGAGGGGCGAAACCGCCGCCGACGCCAAACGCCTTCCAGATCGCGGCGCTGGTCGTAGGCATCCTGGACGAGAGAGCCCAAGAGGGGAACCCCCCGACACAGGGGGAGTTGGCAGAAGTCATGGAGCTAGTCCAGAGCGGACAAGGCCTCCTCTGGGGGGGGATTCGCTCCTCGAACTGGCAGACAACACACGACGCTACGGACGCAGCGGAGGAAGCCGAGGTCAGCCTGCAGATGCTTATCACAAGCTACCCCCTGAACCAAAACAAGCTGGGGGAACTACGCAACTTCCTGGAGGCGGCCGCAGAGGGGGTAGAAGCACTGGTGGGAATATACCCACATGCGGGGGAGCATGAGAGAATGGCGGTGCACCCAGCAGATGTGCTCGGCCTAGCAGCAGGGGGAGAAGAGGTACCACGGCGTGAAGACCGGGAACAACCAGACGCCGCTCACGTGTTCAAAGCCAAACGGCGACTGCGACAACTGCTGCCCTTCTTGGTGGGGGATGTACTGCATGAAGCGGTGCAAGCCATCCAAGAACTGGAAGCGTGGACGACGACCTACTGGGGAGAAGGCTACCCAGTGGAGCTCACCGACGACGAGGGGGACAGAGGGGCGGCCAGTACCTCAAGACCCTCTACAACCGCCGCGCGGGGGAGACACAGTGAGCCACCGAGCGGGAGCCCAACTGAGCCGCGACGCCGCTTCACAAACCCGAGCTCACTCGACCAAGACGACTGATCAACCAAGGTAGCTCTAGTGCTGTGTAGGGCCAGTTTTGAGTTGTGTCATGCATGCAAGCTGTTTTGCACTGTCGGCGAGGAGCTCAGAGCCGTGCAATAGTAGCGGGGGAGAGACAGGAGGGCCAACAGGTAAACCAGGTTCTTGTATTGCCT